CACATTCTGTCTCTCACAGTTGAAGTGTACCTCTGGTGCAAATTACTGACCTCTGTCATCATTTTAGGTGGGGGAACTTGCACAATTGGTGGCTGACTAAATACTTTTTTGCCCCACTGTATAAAGAAATTAGCACATTACCAAACTTAATCAATCCTGTGTTTATTTGTTAGCACAGAAGAAAACTTTGAATGTCTGGCATCTTAATTCTTAGAAGCAATATTCTGTTGCTGTACAAAATGACTTTAAAAACTCTGCAGACTAAAGTGGATGACCAGAAATAACACGACACTTCAGGTTTTTTTTACCTTTTGTTTAGGTTTTCTTTTGGTTTTTTTTTTTGGTTTTTTTTACATGATTTTAATGCGAAGGACAAGTTGATTTGATTTGCAAATAAACTAATAAGCCTTAAAGTTGAAATAATCACTGGAAACTTGTATGGTTAGTGAAAAACATGTAGCAACATAAATAGTTAACTAATTAGGAAACTTTCATCCACCCTAAAAAAAAAAAATAAAAATAAAAAAAAAATCACACTGAGTATACTATTTTCTCTGTTATGCCATGAGACCTTATCTCTTTTTCAAATAGTAATTCTTTTGTCTTAATAGATTTTATTAATAAATCAACTAAAATAAAGTTGTAATCTCATTAATTTTCGGGGGGTTGACTTGAACAGAAATTATTGTTGTGTCTGAGTATAAGAGAAGTTATTTGAATCACTTCTAGTTATGCATAAACCACAGCCTATCATTGTCATACAGAGGACACGGGTCATAAAAGAGAATACACTGAATTATGGGTAATTGCCCTTTTTGTACGAGGCTAATTAGGAGTTATTACAGACTTTTAGTGTTTAGTGCAAATTCAAAGTGAATCAACAGTTGAGATAAAAAAGGAATTTGTGATGAAGCTATTTAGTCTTATGAGTAAATAGTCAATCTGCTATGATTGTTTTATGATAAACAGCAGGCAGGTTTCAAGAAATAAAAATTCTCATATAATGTGAACACTGTTTGACTCTGCATGAACTTACATTATAAAGAGCTTCAGAAACTCACAATATTTGTTTGATATTTGGCCCCAAGATGTAAAAGTTTGCTGTGTGACTGATACTAACATAGTCTTACTTTAGAATTAATGCGTTTTATACTTAAAGGAGTTCAGTATATTACCATATTTCTGAATAAATGCTAATGTTGCCATTTCCTTTTTTTTTTCTAAGTAGCAGGTAGCTGCAGATGCAGGTTGTTTCTCTTGATCTTAAACTGGAGCCTGTTCTCCCGTCATCTAAGATATTATTCATATTTATTGCATTTCCTTCCTGATTTTTCAGGTAAAGTAAACAAGAATGAAATATAGGGCCACCCTTTGATGTTGCACTGAAGACGGCAATCTCCTCTGCTTTGTGGGAGTAAATAACACAAAAATATTATAGTTTTCTTTGCTTTATTTATTTTGTTTTACAGGAAGTGTTTTTTTATGTGTGTATAATTGCAGGTATGGTGAACTACAGCGAGGTGTCTGGTTATCCGCTCGTTCAGCACTGGAATCTTCGCTCTGTGCTCTATCACGTCAAACTCAATCAATGGGTCCTCTCTCAAGGTAAATCACAGAGCTTCTATTACTGATTCTTTATTTATATTGTTAGTAACCTTGCTTCGGTCTCCACTGAGAGGAGCAGGATCGTAATCTATCAGTTACTTAATTTTTAACCAGAAATGTGATTAGCTGGCAGACTGCCATCTTTTTTACTGTCATTTTTAGATGCATTTAAAGCTGAACTTCATGTTGCACCATCTGGGTCTTGAATTCCAAATGCAAATTAAGCCATTTATGTAAACACTGCTTTTGTGCTTTAAAGCAATCATTAACAATATTAAAAATACACTTTTTAGTTTAACATTTTTTTTTACTTTTATATATTTTTACTAGGGGTGCAACGATACACAAAATTCACGGCTCGGTTCGATACTTTGGTGTCACGGTTTGATATTTTTTCGATAAAAAAAAAAAAAGTTCATGCCTTTTTAATTTGTCATTTATTAAAATTATGAATATATATTTTTACTCAAAAGTACAGTTTTTAAATTTAATGTTGCTGACACAACAAAATAATAATAATAATAAAAAATCTGTCACGTGTCGCTGTGTGCAGGCAGGAATAGGACCCAAAGTGCAGACTCACGGCACGCAAAAGTGTATTTCAAAACTCAGCTTTTATTGCTAGATGGCAAAACGTAACAAAAATCCAAATAAACTTACATGAGCGAGCAGGCAGAACACACAGCATAAACGAGGGTAGATCACAACACAGACACAAAGAAACACAGGGCTTAAATACACAGAGGGAGCAATCAGGGAATGGGTAACAGGAGGGAAACACAGCTGGGGCAAATCAGGCCTAATGAGACAAGGGGAAGCGAAACCAGATACATTAACATCAGACATGGACCTTCAAAATAAAACAGGAAACATGACACAGACTGAACTAAAGACACAGACTCACACGCAGGCACTGCAACAGAGGGAACAGGGACGTGGGACCAGGGCAGACACAGACACTGACTGGACACGGGGATATGTCCAGTCAGTGTCAATGTAGCCAGTGTGTGAATGTGTGTGTGAATGACTGAATGTAGTGTAAAGCGCTTTGGGGTCCTATGGACTAGAAAAGCGCTATACAAATGCAGGCCATTTACCATTTACCATATAGCAGACAGAGGAGGCAGCAATTAAGGATTACACAGAGACAAACCATAAGACATAACTCTAACGAAGAAACCAAAGAATAGAAATGATAAATAATGCAATAAACTCAAAACCCTAGGTCAACGACCCAGGCATCCTAACAGTATCAGATCGAGAAATCACTCATCTTTGGAAAAGAGAGTTTATTACAGAGAAATGTCTCTTTCCAAAATAAAAGCTATACTATACGCTTCTTCTGGGCTATATTCTCAGCAGCATATTAAACATATCAGGTCCCCATAAGGAGAATCCTGTGCTAACGGCTGTCTAAATGACTCGGGTAAAGTTTGTAGCATGCGTGCTTGTTGTTTTTGTCTGCTTCCACTTGTCTTTGCACGAGGATGATGTCGGCGTAACCGTGCAGTCATATTCGTTGTGTTCCCACTAGTGCTGTCAGCGTTAATCTGAAATGACGTTAACGCCACAACAAGGCAAATCTCCGTTAACGAGTTACTGCGGATCGCCCCGTGCGTTGGGCTGGACGGCGTCAACACGTTAACAAGCTAACTGCGCTAACACACTAGCTCCCACAAATTGAGCATTGCGTGGCAAATCCTACATACTGTTTTACTTTTGTCCATGACGCGCTTACCTTCAGGGTCATACGTCACATGAGCACCAAGATAGTTCCAAACGCCAGATCTGAATGAGGGTGGGAGAGGTTCAGCTTGCCATGTTGCAAGGAGCTTAGCTTCTGTCTTGCTAGCTTGCGCTGCGCTCAGTGGATTTGTACTCGACAGTGCAGCCTAGGCGGAGTAGTCGAGCGCAGATCCACTGAGCGCTCAACACAGACAGCATCGTCAGAAGAAAAGTTGATAAAATAAATAAAAATTTTGTATTGTTCGATACATATGTGTACCGAACCGAAAGCACTGTATCGAACGGTTCAATATCGATACGAGTATCGTTGCACCCCTAATTTTTATATATGTGTATCTCCTGTAACAAACACAAAAAGTTCAACACAACATCCCAGTCCCAGTATCCATCAAGAAAAGCACACTGAGCACAATGAGGTCTAAATATCTCATGTCATTGTTGAATTTTTTAGACCAAAGTAGCATCATATGGTTTCAGTTGCGTCCTTTATATAACATGAAACCCATGTTGCAAAGTTAAAAACAGTCAGTTATTGGCTGATCGTGGCGGAGCTGTTCCGCCGCACTGCTTGAAGAAAATAAATGAATGAGGGGCGAGTTCCTTTTAATTAAGTACCTAATTAGATACAAAGTGTTAATTTTAAAAGGGTGCAAACTAACAAGCGACTCAGAAAGCACAACCAGAAAATATAAATGTAATTACAACCTCAAGTTCTTGATCAGCTGAAAAAAGTTGCAGCTAATTGAATATCGAGTAATATCTAGAGGCCGAATGCACCGGTCCAAACTAAATCCGAATAAAACGGCGTAAACATGTTTTTCTAGCAGTAACAGCAAAGGTTGGTGACAGTTCACATAAAACGGTGGCCTTTGTACGAGCACGCAGAGTCAGGCCTGATAATGGGGTGCTAAAGTTTAAGGTGAGGTTAATGCCTCATAGCCCGAGAAAATGAAATCACATAACCGGCAGAGCCCGAAGGAATAGACACGTTAAACAGTTTTATTCATTGTAGGAGGAGAGAGGTTGGAATGTCACAGTGTGATAAGTGAAGATTAAAGTCTGATGAGACACACCGTCAGCTGTGCAAAAGCAAACCCAAGCTCATTGACAATAGCTTTTAAGGTCTGTTGTCATCTGTGACATTAAAGCTACTTCCCACAAAATCTAGCTGTATAAATAAAGTTTGCACCTGGCGTCACATTGAGGGCGATATAGAAACAATTCTTATCACGATAACGTTATTGTCATATCAGTCGAGAATGATATATGTCACGATAGAAATCAAAAGACTTTTTCTGTCAAGCTTAAAGGTTTTTTCACTCCTAAATGTGAACATGTCAGGTTAATTTTGGTCCAAATATTGCTTAAACCAAAATTGTTTGTCAAGTTGTACATGTACTTTAACAGTGTGCGGCTGTGTTTTAAATAAAGAATATTAAAATATAATAATAATAATAACAACAATAATAATAAACAACATGGTAATGTGTCATACGCCAAAATCTTAATTCACAACAGGCAAAAGCCTCAAGTGTGCACTGGAAATCTACAGTTTCAAAGAAAAAACACGAGCTCCTAATATAAAAAATGAAAAGTCTAGTTTTTCGATAGAAACATACTTTTTTTAATTGTAGGGACAAAAAACAGATTGAAACTGATTTGGCTCTAACTCTGTTCCAACCACATGCCTGGTTCGGTGTGGCACTCGTCGGGGTTTCACGGTCTTGATCCAAACATGGATAGCATCAGCTCTGTCAGCCTTATATTAGCCATGTTTCATATTGCTATCAGGAAATGCATAATAATTATTTGTATCGTTTTATTGCCCAGCTGTAGTTTGAGGTATAAATACATACAAGTTTGTAACAAAGGAAAAAGTTTCAATTAATGTAGCTTATATAACCGATATAGCTTCAGCAAGCACTTAACTTAATTGTAGCTTATACAAATTAGTGTAGTTTTGAAAAAGAATACTGTGTTGTCATAACTTATTTTGTAACAGTAATGGCTACAACCTCAGAAATGTGTTACTTTTTAATAAATTACACCCAACGCTGCATTTGTTTCTCACTCATTTCCTCACATGATCATATTTTACAGCTCAGATGTTTCTTGAGGCAGTTGTGGTTTGATGTTAAAGCTTCAATTAAAAACTGGATGTCACGTTCAAATATGACTATTATTAGTTATTATTATTAAATACTAATTAAGATCTACTGTAGCTGGCTGATTTGATGGGTACCCAGAAAGGAGGTCAGTATACAGACATATGCATGCAATTAGAATTGTGCTTGTCTTTTTCTCTGTCTCTCTAATAGTCTGTCATATATCAAACCGCTTCGCTGCCATAGTAAGATCGAGTCATCCTGACAGTGCCTGCCATGCAAACTTCATAGAGTAAGATAACTGTGGATAGGTACTTAGTCAAGCAATACTTTCACTGAAGGCTGCTCCTATTCACTGTCACATCAGGGATTATACTGAAACCCTGATGGGTTTTTCAACACTAGCTGTATAAATAAAAAAATAACTAAAAATAAACACATATAATCGGTGTCTCTCTTTTATCTTTACCACCCTGTATCGCTGTAGTTGTTTTGTTGGCAGTGCGTTTAAGGGTAAAGTAAATATTTAAATATTGACTTCAATCTTTCTGCCTGGCCAACAGGAGGATCATTTGATAATTTGGATTTTTGTCATGCTTTAAGTGCATGCATTATTCATAGATCTATCATAAATAGTTTCCCCTCTGATAAGTGAAGGCACCCCACTGTAAATACAGCCACGGCACCTCTAATGCATTTCCAATGGTGCTGCTGTGGTTTGAAAGTGGCTGCCACTTCTGCTGAGGATACACTTTCTATTTTCTCTTCACTCAGAAGCGACTCAACAGCCTCCATCTTTTTTTACTCCCATTTCCCTCTTTAGCTCATCATATTTCAACAGCCACCGGAGGGGTGAGGGTACTGAGTTTTACATCTGATAGCAAAGCCCTCATCGCTCATCCTCACTGCGTTCTCTGGCTCGCACTTCAGTGGGCTCCTAATTTAATTTTAGAGAAGAAGTAAGAGTGAGTGAGCATGATTGCTGACATATTGATACGGCTTCTCCTGGAAATCATAATGATAAAACTGCTTTTGCAGATTTGTTTTCCAGTTTTTAATGAGTGGGAATTTCAGTAAACACATGGTCATTTCAAGCTTTCCATTTTACCAGTCACCATTAACCCAGTGTGAAATCACTAAAATAAGAGCATTAGCATTTAACTCATCACCAAAAACTACAGAGTCATTGTAACAGCTCATTTAGAATTTAGATTGTATTTATAGTCGGCAGTTCTTTAGTAGTTCTTTGACTCTTTGGGTAAGAACCTGTCATTCCAGTTTAAGATCGAGTACCAAAAGCCTCCAAGAGAGTTTCAGTTACTCTAAGGGAAAAGAAAAGCACCATTAACTCAGAGGGTTTTTTATTGTGGATGATGGCACTTTTAAAAAAGATAAACACAGCCTGATTTGTGATAAGTTCCTGTAGAACATCAAAGAATGATACATTTTCTATTTAAAATTAGGTTAAAGGTAACACAAGTAATCAGTCTTACCCAGCATTTAAATAAAAACAAGACCGGTTGGTTGCTTAATGACTTATTGTCAAAACACAAAACACAGAAACTATATTAGAAGTAGGAGGCTCTCTTCCACAGCAGATGGCCCCGCCCCTCCCTGAGCTTGGATCTGCTGGAGGTTTCTTCCTGTTAAAAGGGAGTTTTTCCTTCCCACTGTCGCCAAAGTGCTTGTTCATAGGGGGTCATATGATTGTTGGGTTTTCTCTGTATGTATTACAATATAAAGCGCCCTGAGGCGACTTTTGTTGTGATTTGGTGCTGTGTAAATAAAACTGAATTGAATTGAGTTAGTCATAGCTTTTGATTTTCACTTTTTTTAGTAGCAGTTTTTGAATTAACCCGTAAAAGTTGTGAGCTGCTCCAGGGTCCAAAGACCTTGTGATATGTGCCAGTTTCTTTGTGATAAAAAAGGAATTTTAAATTTGATCACATTCATTCTTGACTGTTGTTTTGAGCAGTGGATCACAGAGGAACTGACAAAACATAGTTTGTTCAAAAACATACTACTTTCTAAAATTCTGCATGGTGAATATATCTAAGCCTTGATTATTTCTATTGTTAAAACAGACTATTTAATCTGAAATATGGATAACACGTGTCAAAAAAATGTCAATGCAATCAGGCGCTTTGCTGCTATAACAAATCTATACTATGAATAGCTTGAATAATTACCAATATTACCAAAGCTTAGACAAATTTGTGTGTAGCTGCTGTTTCTGTACAGCGACTCTGTACTTATGTTTTAACATCTACCTTTACTTCCATAGTTACCAATACAAGGATTCACACCCAAGAAAACACTGCAAATATAAAAATAAAGACAAAGTTGCAGTTCAAAGTGACAAATTTGAAACATTTATTCTGTATTCTGTTTGAATGCGTTCGTGCTCACAGCTTAAATAAGTGTACAGTTTTGTCTCCCATGCTGCAGTGTTAATACTGACTGGTTATCAGGACACTGCAGGCTTTGTGTGGGAGATGTGTTGTTACACACTGTTTGGTTAGTTTCAGGCACCAAAATCACTAGGTTAGGTTTAGGAAATGTCATGGTTTGGTTTCCAATAAGCCCACTCTGCATGTTGATAAATGACTGTGAAGGGTACCTAGTGCATTCAAACGTGCGTCAGTTGCTCCAGACCGAGCATCCATATGTGACCAGTTGGAAGTGAGGCAGGGCTCTCATGTCCGTGTGAGGACACTGTGGATAATCAGCACTGTTTGGTTAAAAGGGTTCATGAATAGTAAGCAGCTGGCTCAGAAGTTCACTAAACCCTTTTAAGACATTTGGTGCCAGACACCTGACGGACACTCCTGCTTCACCCACTGTAATTTTAAATAGTTTGTGATGTTAAATAAGTGAGAAAAACGTGGATTAAAAAGGGCAAAAAATAGAAACTTAGAAAAAACTGTAGCTGCCAGTAATCACATAGCCATGATCTTGTTATAACCACAATTTGAATATTTTAAACTTAACTTATCACATAATAAGGGTTATCATGGTAACAATGTATATGGACATTTTTTAAACTCGCATTGACTGTCAGAATTCCAAATTCCCTGATTCTTGCTTTTTCCTGTTACCACTTTCCAACTTTCCACTTGCAGCCTGCCTTTATGCGTAACACACTGGTGCTCCACACTGAGTTTGCCTAGGAGAGTTCAGGCTCTGTTGAAGAACAAAGGCGGTCACACCAAGTCCTGACTTCCAAGCTTGCTAGAATTGTATATCCTTTATTTTTACCGTATATTCTGTTTTTATACTGTAAGTATGTTTTTAGAAGAATAAATTGCTCAAGACTTTTGCACAATATTGTAAATTATATCACCTCTGTTTATACTTACTTTTAATGGTTTTAGTGACTGGCTTGCTGATACATTACGTTGCCTGTGCTAATGTCTGCACCATCCCAACACTGACCTTTAAGTATGTTAGTATTTTGTATAAAAATGCTAATGTTTAGCAACTAATGATTATCCCAGTGCCTGAGAAAGTAGCAAAAGACCAAAATTAAAACAAACTCAAGGTCGAATACAAATACTTACAATATAATAAACTGAAAAAACTACCCAGTATATATGTTATGTCCTCTGAGAATATGCAGGATTTTCATTAAGGAAGCTTATCAAGATGACTATTAAGGATTGAGCAGAAGATGTGCTGTAGCGTAGCAAATATGACATCCCTGTTTCTTTGTTCTTTTGTAACATCTACGTATTTTTTCCAGCCTTCAGCTCCGCAATTCATTCTCTGGATGGAGCCACACAGCGGAGCGACTTTGTCTCCATCCTCAGGGAGTTTGGGAACCACTACGTGCAGGAGGCAGTGTATGGCTTCCAGGAGTCCTGTACCATCTGGTACCCCAACAAACAGGTACAGAGGCAGCTGTGGTTGGAGTACCAGGACATAAGCAAAGGTATGGATACACACTCACACACTGTTGTTGTCATATCAAATGATAGTTTTAAATAAAGACAAAAACGCTGGAACACTGGTAAATTTCTGAATTGTCACTTTCACAAAATACATCGAAACGTGTGTATGTGTGTGTGCATATGTGGGTGCCTGTGGGGGGTGGACAGGATGATTATGTTACAAATTTAGAAGTGTAGAACCCTTGATCTTCTTTCAGCTGCACATTAAATGCTTGCCAGGAGAAACACTTGAGCCTCACATGGGACCTCTTCTAACAAAGCCTCAGCTTCTTTGTTGGTCGTAACTGGTTGAAGAGAACTGTAAGTCTTCCAGGAAGGCAGTCTTTTTTTATCCTTCTTCATCTTCTCACACCGTTTTATGGAAATGCCCCTTCAGTATTGTTTAGGTTTGTCTTTGACAGGATTTGAATTGCCACACTTTTTCCTATAAACCATGCAAACACAGAAATAAGAGCATGGCATTAGGACTTGGCTACAATCTTTGATATTTTTGTTCAACAAACATATTGAGAGCAGGCTGAGGCAACATGCTAAATACAGGCATAAAAACAAAGAAACCTGGCACATGGTTAGGAGCAGGCAGTGCAGGATCATTAGCTGAGTACAATCAGGAAGGGTTGGAACATTTCAGGAGACAGGACTAAGGGGAAAAAGTGTGTTGGAAAGTGGACGTGACAAGTTCTGAAACAGAGTGAATGCATGGAAACTGAATGCTGAATGAATTACCGACTGGGGCAAAACAACTGTTAGAAACCAACAGCCAGTTTTAGACTCTACTGATAGACTGTAGCTTCACACAACATGCACATCTATTCAAATCAATTCACTTTGATTTATACAGCGGCAAATCACAACAACAGTCGCCTCAAGGTGCTTTATATTGTAAGGTAGACCCTACAATAACACATGCAGAGAAAAACCCAACAATCACATGACCCCCTATGAGCAGCACTTTGGCAACAGTGGGAAGGAAAAACTCCCTTTTAACAGGAAGAAACCTCCGGCAGAACCAGGCTCAGGGAGGGGCGGGGCCATCTGCCTAGTGCTCCAATGGGGTGATATGGTACTACAAGGTCATTAAGATAAGATTGGGCCTGATTATTTAAGACCTTGTATGTGAGGAGCAGGATTTTGAATTCAATTCAAATCTCATGGCAAATATTACACTAAAATTTATAGTTAAATACATTTTTATTTAACTATATCTTATTATATTTTGGATATTTAGTTTACTGAAACTAGACTAAAACTCAAAAAATGCAAATTATAACTAAAGCTAAATCAATATTTGCTGCCCGTTCTGTTGGTTTTTGTCTTTTGCCCTTCTCCCCCGTCCCTCTTCTCAGCTGTTTCTCTTTCCCTCTTTCTTTCTCCCCTTCTTTCCCCCAGTCAAGTCTGTCCCGTATTCAGTAAGTGAAAATAAAAGAAACAATAAAAGGTGAATCAAATGGACCATTACGGCAAGGCTGGGATGGTCAATTTGGTAAAGTAAATCCGTTGGGCATCTTTCTTTGCCTTTAGACAACAATTCTGATGCAAAAGAGCCAAACGGGAAGGCCAAAAAAAAAAAATAAAAAATAAAAAATCAATATTTGCTGCCAAATTGAACAGGGAGGGACAAAATCACGGGAAAGCTTCTAGTACTTGTATAATTACCAGTTTCCAGGCTTTGTCTTCTGTCTTATGTGCAGAGGGAGAAGATTCATCCATGCAGATTAGAGCTTTGTGCTTTTTTGCCCACAATTGTAAAGGAGTGAAATACAGACTGAGGTGTGGCTTTGCACTATAAGCAGCATTGTTCTATCACATGTGATTTCTTCCCTCTCCAGAGGCACTTACAGCGCTGCTACTTTACGGTCTAACAATCAGCGAATCGATGACTTTCCTTTTGGTTTTATTACTCAAAATGCTAGCATATGTCAGCCACCCATCTCTTTGTTGCACATGCTTGTTTTTCAGTAAGTCGCTGCAGACGTAACTGATAGTCCGTCTCGCCTTACCATTTCACCCCAGTGGCTTCAAACTGTCTGCAGTCATTTCCTCTGTTTGATCCAACCACTTTTCTTCCTTTCCCTTGTTTTGTCCAAGGACGCCCCCGCTGCGCTTCACCGTTCACTCCCAGTTACCTGTGCGCTGATAGATGGCATCAAATAACTGGGTTTTTCTGCCATCAGGAAAAGAGGATTACTCTTCATTTTCTAACAGTTTCTGACAGGCCAGTTGCCGACGCTGCTAAATGACTCGTGTAGTCCGTGTTATTTTTTCACGACGATTGATTATCGTCAGATTTATGCTTACGCGTGAATACATAGCAGATATTGACAACCTTTAAATAATATATTGTATTAATTAATGTTAAAATTCTTGATATTTATAACAGAGTAACAATAAATATTTTAAATAGCAACATTCCCCACTGATAAGTAGGCAGTAGTTTTCATTTCTAATGATGATTTGCTTTTCTTTAAAAGTGCTACCGCTGCATCTGTGGTCATGAGCTGCCGTGTTGAAACAACATAAAACCATCTGATTTAGTCCATGTGGGAATGAAAATCCAATTGTCTGAACTCGTGCAAAATCCACCCAGAATCTATTATTCCTGTCAAATGGGAGCACAATGATTGTGCTGTGCTGTGAAGTACTGAAATGATTCAATCTAAGAGGGCTAACAGTTTCGGTCTGGCCCGGGACCATCTGCTTCCAGGAAAAGAAATTGATTTCATTGGCAAAAAACTTGAAATCAGAGTCATCTTTCTTAATCTCTTCCTGACTTCTTGGAAACGTCCTGGCCTTTTGGAGGGGAGTAATGAGCTCACAGGAGAGTTTGATGATCCATGTCCTCACCCCTTGCTCCAAATACAAGATGTGCCCAATTCAGTTTGGTGGATCATTTTCTGCATCCTGGCTACTTGCATTTGAGCTGCTTCTACGTTCTTTTTAGATGGTGAAACATGAAATCAGTTACGACATAATTTAAAGAAAAAAATTGCTGTTGTGTTTTTCTCACTACATGAAATGAAATTCGGCTTCAGATAATGGACTTCTAAGGGTAGAAACAGTTTTCCGAGTGTGCAGCGGTCCTCTCATCTATGCGTCGGTGTAGCTCCGAGCTCTTCTTCTTTATAAACTGCATATGCAGTTTATGCTCTGATTGTATAATATCATCATTATAATATCATTTTTATGCAAAAAAATAAAAAATCTCATTTTTCCCACTTAATGAAATACTGCTGTTTGAAATATAAGGGGAAACTTTTGAGTTTGTACTCAAAACAGCCTCTCCTTCTGTGTGGATTATGAGTACGGAGACGACAGTGCATCAGCTGTGAATCATAGCTCAGCAGGCTGGAGCTCAGAGGGTTAAAGGACCGCATAGTGTACCAGGGTGTGTAAAATTAATTGAAGACTTACACCAGTTGTTTCTTATGACCCAGGAACCTGAAAAGAACACACATTGACAGAAATGTACACACACACACACACACACATAGCGATACTGTCACTGCTGTATCTGTTATGTTTGTGAAGACGCTGCCATAGCTCATTAACCATGGTCAGTCGCTGTGTGCGCCTCCATGTGTTTGGCCATGATGCCTTGTCTGGGTGATTAATGGCGCTTTCTTGCCTGCACTAGGTTGTGATCGGAGTTTCCTATTGTCAGACACATGACCTCAATTACCACACGAGAGATCAGACATGAACAGCATCGTGCTCCCTTCATGTTACAAACATTTATTTCAGTGACAACATGTGTTGAGTTAGGAGCCTTTAAAGTTTCTGTTTTCTCCACCTCTCCAGAGTTGGCAGGTTGGTGTCCTTTAGGCAGCGCTAACACTTGCACAGGCCAAGCTAACGGCTAGTGAGCGAGCAAAGCTTAGTAGCTGAGAAACCAAATAAGAGGTGGTGGAAACCAACACCCGTTGTGTGTCTCCCCTGTTTTTCTTTCTAGTTTGTTGTTGCTGTTTGAAGACTTTGACTTTGGTTTCCCACAAAATAAAGCTTTGTTTTCAGTTTATTGTTGTCAGGCTGGCGTTTGGGTCCTATTCTGTCTACCCTGGACATTCTAGCATGTTAGCATTTCTGTGTTTTACTTCTGTAAAATCCACCAGTGCAGGTTTAAGAGTTACTTTTTGGTGCTTGTGACCTACAATCTCATGTAGTATGACATAGAATTGTCACTAGACGATCAATATCATTCACTTGAGATATCTGGGCCTAAATGTTGTGGCTGATCACAGGTTATGTTATAAATTTGAGGATAAATGCAGCAGATGTAAAAAGTTTGAAATCTTAACCACATATTTTCTATCTTGTTGCAAAATTTGGTTCGGACTTTAAACTTTATGACTAATAGAGGAAGTTCTTGACCAGTCTCCCAAGCTTATATGCTTCCATACTAATGAGGAAAATCGTTACCTATTGTGTGGCTTGCTCAGAAGATATTTCAAGAACTTCTTTTAAACACTCCTGAAATTAGGACAGTACCGCAGCTGTCTAAGCACAGAGTGGATGTGAATATGATTAGCCTTATTTAGTTTGCCTCGTGTCTCATTCACTGAGTGACCTGTTACATGGAAAATATGTGGGGACTAGTTTGCTCGAAAACAGCTTCAAAATAATTAGATGCTTTGGAGTTCTGTCAAAACACTCCAGCAGCAATTAAAAACGGAATATGCTTCAAAACCACCTAAAGGTGACATTATAGAGCTTGTTAAATTGTTAAATGTCAGATCAAATTGAAAATATTGAATACTGACAGGAATTTCAGATGCCAGTGAAGGTGTACCTGCAGTAAACACACAGTGAGAAGTGCTGCACGAGATTAAATGTCTTTGCTATTGTTTTCACCATCAATCTTTTCTCTATCTTCTTTGCCTCCGACTAGTGTTCTCCACCTTTCCCCTCACTTTCTCTCTCAACTAAATCACTACGACCTCAACCGCAGCCCCCCTTCTCCGCCAAATCAGGTGTTGGGTTTTTA